GTGTTATGGCTTAATTAGCTGATTAGAGTGGGACACTTTGAGCCTAGAATATTGCACCTTTTCACAATATTCTAATTTTCTGAGATTGTGGATTTGGGGTTTTCATGAGCTGTAAGCCATAATCATCACAATTATGACAAATCACGGCTTGAACTATCTTGCTTTGCACGTAATGAGTCTATCTCATATATTAGTTTCACCTTTTAAGATTGTAAAAAAAAAACTTTGTTTCAGATTCCTACCTGTTTCTGAAGAAATTGCAGTTTGTTTCAACATGTCCTTTACAAATTGATTCCCAAATTGGAGGGTCAGGGTTAATTTATAATGGTGGACTTTCTGTGTTGTAATGAGGAAAGGTGCAGTGTTGGTATCCTAGTAGTAATTAAACCTTAGGGAGTATCCCACCAAAAATGGTACTTTTTACCGTAGTGGAAAAATCTGTAAGCCAACCGCAGAAGCAGGAAGTGACATTTCTGGGGTTGTTCTGTACACGAACTGTGTACAGAACGTCCCCAGGTTGCCATATTTTATTAATGTATTTATTTTTGTAGTAGACAGATGCCACAGTCAGTGATTTTATGCAGATTTTTTTTCTCACAGTTTGTGTGTATTGAGCTGTTTGCTTCTGTGCACCAGTTCTCCGGTTCTTCATTTTAGCACATACTACAGAGTACATCAGTAATGACATCTTCAGTGATTAAATCCATTCACTTCATTACTACAGTGATATAAAACAAAATAAGAAATTATTTTCCAGTGAAAAGTATTATACATGGATAATCAATAGCTTCTATTTATATTTCAAATGAGAACTATTGAAATTAGTTTGTTATGGTGTCTAATAAAGAGGATACATTGGGGGGATTGTAGCACTCTTGCCATACAGCATGGCAGTGCAAAACGGAAGCAATACCATTCACATTATTTTCTGTAAGATTGCAGCTTGGTTTTGACTTCTTAGGCCTCTTTCACACGGGCATCCTGATCAGGATCAAAAGCCTAATGTTAGTCTATGGGCAGCCAGATCTAAATGGACATGCATCTGTTTACATCTGATTTACCTCTGTCTCCGGCCAGGTCCGGAAAAACAAACGGATCAGAGTTCTGTTTTGGCGGACCTGATCATGGCGGATCGGAGTTAATGTGATGTTAACTGACACATGTCCGTTTACATCTGATTCCCCAAAGACCAACCATGGTCCGGCAATTTCATTTCCCCCCCTGCAAGATAGAGGAAAAACGCCTGGCACGGATGTCATAAAGGTGCATCCGTGCGCGGTACCCTGCTGATTGGAACTGAAGTAACCCATGTGAAAGGGGCCTTAAATGTTCATGATTTATAACGGTCTCACTTGTCTGCCAAGGATTGCACAAATACACAGAACCTGTCACAAATCCTTAGCTAAATGAGAAGCAGCTGGATTTTCTCTAGAAATATGCCCGATTTTATTTTTGGCAACTTGGTTACTTCATAAACATTCCTCATTATGTGGTAAAACCGCAAAGTTTTTAGAGTAAAAATTCTATATCCAAAGAGGATTTTATCCCTCAGGCACAGTTCTGAAAAATATTTAGAACTTGTTTTATTTGTAACCTCCTGACCCTCTCCAATGCAAGATGATTGCATTGACACTATAGAACTGTTTTGAGTAAGAAGCTGAAAAATTAAGTTGCTGCCTGCAAATGTTCTTCTGTCCTGGAAAGCTGGGACTGAAAACCCTAATTAGCAAATTGTGATGTTCTAGCATGCCTAAGCTGGAAATACCCAAATCATGAGAAGATGATTTGAAGACTACATGTATTATCTTGGGGGAATAAATCTGCCAAATAGTTTGTGTGTTATGAGCAGGGACATTTGTTACCCTAAAGCGGTGAATTATTAACAAGAAAACTGCCCTTCACCCATTCCAAAAAATATCCTTACCAGGCTGTTTATAAAAAAAAAATTTTCATTTCAGCTGGGGCCTCATTTGTACACTCAAAACATATGCACACATAAGGATCTGTTTATAAATGTTTTCACAGCTTTCACCCAAGATTCACCATTTCAAGATTTTTCTAATTGGAGTCACTTGGGAAACTATGTAATTCCTGGATGAAGTTGTGTGAATCTTGTACAATTGTGTTTTTTTTTATATAGACTGTTTATGGGTATTGACTTAGTAAAGTGCAAGGTGTAGTTTAAATCTTGCAGGGGCCTCTTTGACCTTGACTTCACTGAAATTGTTTCCCATCTAAGCCATTGCAAAATAACTTTCAACTGGTCAGCAGATCAAGGCAAGATGACAGAAAGCCTTTATTAGCTTAAAACAAGTTTTCCAGTGTACAGGATACAACAAATAGCAGGCGTTTATGCCATTTATTAAAAGGTCAAACATATTAGTGTAAAACAATAAGTTACATGATTCACATACCTAGATGAGGAGTTCAGCAAAAGTAACGTAACGGACTACTGTGCTGTAAGTGGCTTTGTGGACCAAGCAACTTAAAATTAGTTGCGCTATATATTTTTAAAATATGCAATCTTTACATATTAAAATGTATGTATTGTATGTATGACATACAATTTTATGATTTCCTCTTAATGCAGAGGGTAACTTTGCACTTAAAAAAATATAAAAACCTAAGAACAGCAATGTAATATATTGCAGCTAACCATTCTTGAAATGTGTTGACATTTTCTTCCAGTACCAAAAAAAAAAAATGCCTGTTGATCCTACCAAAAAGGCAGTGTCCTTTTCACTTCCTGCGCATTTAATCAAAACACCCCCTATGTTTTAGAGATGAGCTACAAACACCTTCTCGTATATCAGGAGAGAAGCCTAGGGTGACCATGCTGCTCTGACAAGAAGTGTGTTACTGGCAGAATCATAGGTGAAAATAGCCTGAAAAGTTTTGCTAATGCAACTACGAAGACTAGTAAGCTGCCATATATATTTTTTGTTTTAGGGGTGTAGATATGCTTTTAATAATTACTATTCTCTGCATTTGAAGCGTTTCTACCAAATGCAGTGCCTTCTTTGGCATTCAGTTCAAAAGAAAATCAAAGCAAAAATGGTCCAGACCTTCTTTTTTTTTTTTTTAATGATTTTTTTTTTACATTTTGCAAGGTAATTACTAGGGATGAAAATATACTTTTCGAGTACCAGTGCAGATACTTGGCAGATACTACCAGGGTTGCAGCTTGGACCTGGCTCTGGCACTCTTCCACTGTCCTGAAATCATTAGTCTGTATTGTTTTAGAAACAAACACATGACAATAACAAAAATGTATCGGTACTCGTACTTGTAAGTACTCGTACTCGCAAAACTGGTATCCATGCATCCCTTTTTATTTATATTTATAAAAACAAAATCATACATTAAAACAGAGATGTACAAATCCCAAGAGCTCCGTGTGCTCCTTACAAATGACAGCTGCCTCCTAATTTTTGAAATTTTCCCTAATTTTTGAATTTTTCTCTAGTGTAGTCTTGGAGCTCAAAAGTATCGGTACATGTACTTGTACCGAGTACTGTACTTGGTATCTGTGCAACCCTAGTAATTACATGTTGTTTAGTAGCTCTTGGAGGTACAGGGCTGCACAGCTCTATTCCATAAACCTAGAGGCAAATGTAGGCTGCCATTTCAGACTCCTCCTGAAAATATAGTTCTCTGGCTGACATGATCTAATGATGATATAATGCACATGTGTCAAACTCAAGTCCCAGGGGCCGAATCGGCCCACCAGTCCATTTCCTAGACTTCTACTTTTCAGATCTAGGTATTAAAAGAGAACTATGGGGTTAGGGCTTTTCCCCATAGTTCTCAGGGTAACGGGAGGACACAAACTAGCGTCCTCCCGTCACCCTAAGCTCAGTATACCGCAAGCTACAGCTCGCGGTATACTGAGAAGCTGAAGCGGATCGCCACAATTATGTCTGGATCCGCCCAGCTGCGTGAGTGACAGCTGGCTCTGCCTAGCTAGAGGCAGACCCAGCTGTACCCGCCCCCTCCCCCGTCCGTTCCGCCAGTCAGCGCTGGAGGATCGGAGCGGGGAGGGGGGAATCCAGCCACTCCCCTGTCATGGCAGAGAGCAGTGACAGGATCGAGAAGTGAGCGAACGCCGCTATGTGTTCGCTCACTTCCCGATCTACTGAGCCGACCTGTGACAGTCTCATTGTCACAGGTCGGCTAGAACTATGAGGTGAGTGAAAAGCACTCGCCTCATAGTTCTCCTCCTTTTAAGTTATTACTAAAACCAGTGATAATTGAATGCAGAGGCAATTATGATAAAGATTAGATACATTTATATAGTCTTACAGGCACTTTAAGGGCAACCATAATGTGATGCGGCCCTCGATTAAATTGAGTTTGACACCCCTGCTCTAATGACTTCAATAATTGAGGAAATTAACCAGAAGAAGTATGCTGATCAGGTGTCCTCACTTCACTCTCTTTCCTGATCTGCATGCATTTTCGAAGTCGGAGAATCGGATAATACTGAAGCCAGAGACAACTAGGAGGTCTCAACTGTAGTTCAGAAATGAAAACTGTCACTTTGGCCAATCTGTCTGCAGAAAGCCCATCCCGGTTATTTTGCTTACTCATTCACTCTTCCTTTCCACCCCTCCGCTGCAGCATCCCAGCCTTTCCAAGCTCCCGTTTTGCTGATGTCACACAAACACACGTGATATTGTTTGGGTCCGGTATTTAACCAATCAGACCTGAGCACTATTGCATGGTGGAGGTCATGTCCTTCCTCATACCTGAAAGCCCTGCTCTGTTAGCAGGGGTTCAGGCGGTGCAAGGAGTTGGCATGGGAGCGTTGCTTGGTACTTATAATTCCATATGGGTGCTATCTGCACACACTGTCACTACAGCTTTTTAGTATATCTTTATGTGGTATTGGTTCCAGTGCTTTGCAGATATTTTATACAATAATAGGTAAAAATCAATGAGGTGTAATATCATGTGACTATTTATTTTCTTCACATAATTTTCTCCCTTTCTGGTTACAGTATTCATATCTGCTTACTAGCCAGCTGGAATCTCAGCGCATCTACTGGGAAAACAAGATTGTGCGTTTAGAGAAAGATACAGCAGATGAGGTGCGTGACAACCAAGTAAAATTTTTCTTTCCAAGTTAAAATTGCCTATCTAGAGTGGACTCCCCTCTTCCTTGCTCTTCTGTGCCATCATTACTGATTTGGAGGTGACATTACTGAGTCTGTGCAGCCTATACAATTCCCAACCCAGGCAGATAAACCCTAGGTTCTGTTTGACAACTTGCAAAAGCTCAAAGAGCAAACATGGCTGTATACTCACTATTCAAACTCGGGTTTAGCACTGCAGGAGAGATCATTTTACCTAAGCTGCTGATCCATATTTTCTTCTGAGAGGAAGACTTAATGCCTGCTTGGTCAGATTCGTTGATTTAAATGTTGGATACTTTATAATTTGTGCTTTTTCCATCAGCATATGGTATGTGGTAAGTCACATAAAAAGGCAAAAATGTCTCCAAGCCCTGTTAAGACAGTATAACCAGACCTCACCAGGTTATAGTGAGCTAACATAAGTCTTTAAAGCACTCTGCTAAGTAGCAAAGTAGGGACTTCTTTAAACTATTTCTGCATGTCTTACTTCCATCACAAATCCAAGGAGGGGTTTATTTCTAATTTTAGGATAGTGGGCACAACTAGCCAGACCATCTCTCCTGACCCCTGGGACAACTGTGCATCCAGAACTGCTAGTTTATACCCAACCATAAACTGTCTGGTTATACGTTTTGTTCCCCAATCCCTTTTCTGGAACTGCTGGTTTACAGCCACCTTACTATAACCTGTCTGACTGTGCTTTCTCAGCCCCCAAATCCTTTTAGAACTGCTATTATGCGCTCCACCTTACCATAACCTGCCTAAATATGCTTTTCAAGGGTCCAAACCCTATTCTAGAATTGCTGATTTACAGGCCATTTCACCATAACCTGGCTATTATAATTTCACAGTCACCAAATCATCTTTTTTGTCCCCAAGTCCTACTACATAGAAGCTGTTGTTTATATACATATCACTGATGATGGCTAATAAGGTGTTGAGCTACATATGTTTTGTAAACTAGAAGATACACAGTTGGCCCAAAGGAATAAAGCAATGGTTCTACAATAAAGAATAAATGTAAATAAACCACAATTTTTCTTTTGAGGAAAGTGAGAAATGCAGATACATTTTTCTTTTAAGAAGGTTATGCTATGATTTGCAGCAATAGACACTGTCCTTATTTTAAGCTTTGAGCTTTTGAAAGGCACAATGGAAAGAATTCATGTGAAAAGGTAGCAAAGCAATATCCACCATCAGAATAATAAAGAACAGTGTAGAAAAGGAAAGATTAAACCTCTCGAGCAGTGGTCTCAAAGTACCGACCTGCAGGCCAATTGGGGCCCGTGAGACGGTACTATACTTGCGGGAGCAGCTACACGGTCTGCATCGCTGTCGGATGCAAGCCACATAGCTGCTTCTCTGTGCCGGCACTCGGATCCTTTCAGCCAGCACTCTGAAATCTTTCAGTGAACCTTTACTGAAAAGATGGATTAGTAAGGTCGGCAGTAGACCTTACTAATCAACCACTGGATCCGCAAGGATCTTGCCTCCTCCCTGCAAAAAGGTAAGCAGGAGAGAGGGCTCTGTATTCTATTTTAACTTCCTATGTCAGGAACTTTTGTTTCCCTGCAGCATGAATCCCTAAACTGGTGTTTACAAGCAGCAGCCGTCACCCATTCAAGTTGGTGATTAGGTGACATCCGCTGCATGTAAACGCCTGCACACCGCATGTAATGGTATCTGATATGATTACATTTGGTTTATATCAATCACTCTCCTTAGACGCATTGATTGTGCATCCAGGGACAGTATTTTGTAACCGCATGTAATACCACATACATTACATGCGGTGTGCAGGTGTTTACATGCAGCTGCTGTCATCTGATCATTAACTTGAATAGGTGACAGCTGCTGCTTGTCAACTCCAGATTAGGGATTCCTGCTGCAGGAAAATGCAAATTCCTGAGGCAAAATCTCATACTTCAAAATCTCATACTTTTGAAGTATGAGATTTGGCAAGCAGCCCCCATGGGAGAAAAACATTTGTCAAGTGTTCCCCAAGTGAATTGAGTTTGAGACCCCTGCTCTCGAGAAACCTGCAAGATTTTAAGGGCTAAAAACACCCTTGGGAACATTTACTCACAAAACATAAATGAGTAAACCCAGGAGTGTGCCAATATTCAATATTGTATGTACAGTTTCCTAAGGACTAATCATGTGTAGCTCAGTCAGTAGTAGCAGAAAAATTTCTCTAACCTGTTAAAGTGACATATTTATTGTGGATACAGACGCTTTAAATATAATGTACTACTTTGGTAGACATAAAAATGTGTTATGTCCGTTATACAGGTAACATAGTTTGTAGCTTTTATTTTTGCTAGATGTTTAGCATGGTCACTAGGTCAAACAGCTTCTTACCCTGAATTAGAAGACCACAGTTCCTGTCATCAAGCCTTCATGACTACACTTTGCACAGGGATAAGATTTGTGTTTTCTGAGTTGCTATTTATTTTCCCAGATTACCAACATGAAAGCCAAGTTCAAGGAGACAATAGATAAGTGTGACAGCCTGGAGCACAGGCTAAATGATCTTCTCAAGGAGAAACAAGCTGTGGAAAGAAAGTGAGTGAAAATCTTTACCACTGTTCTGTGTGCAGATTTTATGAAAGTAAAGTGAGTTATTTCAGTGTTTAAGATGTTTGTTTAAATTCTGGTTTGGGAATCAACACTGCCAATAGTGATCAGGAACTTTCCTAACCTGTACCATCTTTGTGCACCAGGAAAAGTTTGATCCAATCATTAATTTGATATTTTGGGAACATCTTAAAAAAAATAAAAATTAAGTTTAAATATAATTGAATTGCTAGGACCCTCCCCCCCCCCCCCCCTTTTTTTTTTTTTTTTCTTTTTTTGTAGTAGGCCCTCCCCCCCTTTGGAAATGTTTGGCTTCGTGTGGCAGAAACAGATGAAATATTTGCATTTTGTCTGGAATTTAAAATATAGACTGTCTGATAGCACAGAGCTCAGAATGTTCTGTGAAACAAAACCGCTCCAGGGAGGGAAAAACAATACCTGGAATGTGTTTTCCCGTCCAAATTTTCAGATGCCCTTTAAATCTTATATCTGTCTGGAACATTGTGAGGCTTATATCGGGGTCATTGCCAGGGGGTCTGGCGGGCGATGGGTGACCGGGTCATTGTAACCTAGAAACGCGTCCTGAGATAATCTTATCAACAATGAAAGAACTCTTCTGTTGAAGACAAGAAATCACGTTATTAGAATCAGTCACAGTCAATGAAGATAGTAATAAGTTTACTCTTCTTCACGATGGAAACCTAAGTCAGCTGAAAGGTAGGGCTGTAGACTTCTTGAGCACGCCTAGTGCTTGGCATCTGTAAGCCAAGCCATAAACTGGTAGATTTCCGTAAGAACATTTATATAAAAAACATTCCATGATGCCATTAGAGACTTGTTGGACTTCGCTAGAAATTTTCTTTAGTTTTAAAGTTTGATTTTGGAAGGGATGGAGTTCCCCGAACCAAAACCACGCTAACTGTTCACTGTAAATTTTGTTTCTTCGAGAAATTACCATCCTGCTCCTTCCATTTGGAAAACAATTGTCCATTTGACCCCATTAACTATTTGAAAATAGAATACATTTTTCCAGCAAAATTTTACTGGTGCATGGCCAGCTTACGTTTTACGTGTGCCCTACGCCATTGATGGTGTTTACCATTTCAAACCCCCCCCCCCCCCATTTTCTTTTTTGCCTTCATTTTTTTGTACTTTACTAATATTTATCTGCTTTACTTCCACCCACTTCATATCCTATGCCCTTTTCCAGCATTTTACTCTTATTTTACACTACAAGCTTTCATTACAACACAAATAGCCTCCCACACCATGGCTTTTCTAACACTCTCCATGTACCCTTTCTCTTTAACAGCTGCTGTGCTCGTGCTGCTTTATGTGTACAGTTGGCAAACGTTTGTAATAACCTTGACTATGTCCTGTCTTTGTAATTAAACCTCAGTATACCAATGTGTTCTAAACATGTTTGTGATAACAGGCTCATCATTAAGTCCATTGTGTGTTATTGTATTCTTTTTCAATAAAACATTGTAAAAGAATACCTGGCACATTTGGATGCCTGAAGTAGGTTTTCTTTAAGTGAACCTGTGCCCAGACTATTCACACTAAAGCAGTGGTTCTCAACCTGTGTAACCTCAGGACCCACATTTGTCCTTGGTCATTAAGTCCCGACCCAAGTTACACTGCAATGGAATGCACAGCATTGGGGTACCGCGCATTCCAGTGTGGGCGTACAAACTGTGGGTGGGAGGTGCGTTTGAGGTGGTGGGAGCCAGAATGTGATGTCACTATGGCACCTCTATAGGATATGTGAGGGAGCTGTAAGCAATGCTCATATGGATGGAGCTCCCTCACAGCCATAGCTCTATCTTATCCCACCTCAAGCTGACACTTGGCACTGGGCAGCATATTTTGAATGGCTGCTTGGCACAAGAACTGACAGTGCTGCGCTAGGGTGAGGCAGAGAAGCCTCTCACCTAGAAAAGTAGAAGGCATGCAGCGACCCACTGAAAACGGGGCTGCGACCCACTTTTGGGTCACGACCCACGAGTTGAGAACCAAGGCACTAAAGTATTTCCATATTCACTAAAAGAATTTTAAAACAAGTCCTCATTTATCTTTGAATCTATAAGCATTGTAAAGAAATTAATTTCCAAAGTTTACAGCACAGCATTAAATCCCGAGCTTCTTACCTGCATTTAAATTAATGGCCACCTGGCTCCCCTGGATTAATTTACTGAATCTTCTGCTTTTGGTGAGGCAGCTGGTACTTAATTCTAGAGTGTTTCCGGTACAGGACAGAAACACGCCCCCTGGTGTGGGTTGGTTCAAGACGAACCCGCCTCCATTTTCTTATGATTATTACAGCCTTTTCCTCTGCTCCCCTTCTCTCCTCTTGCGTTCTCCCTCTACCCTAACCCTTGTTCTCTCCACCCTACATGTTTGTTTAGTGTTCAATCTTCCTTTCGGTTTCTGACCCCGTTGTAATTTTAAAAAATTGGACAGGTTGGGTATGCACACTTTCTTTATTATTGAGCATGTTTCAAGTTTGACCCTCCTGCATGGGAAGGTCTGGATGCATCTGTTGGTTCGTATTACTTGCTTGAGTTGTCCCTTCTTGTAGCCTCATTGAAATTTGATTATATGGACATTGTTTTGTACTATCTTGTATTTTTATTTTTATACAAATGTGTGTGTATTTACTCCTGAATAACACACGAACATCTATACAAATAACCAAATATTCTATCCTAATGTGTGATCGATACGTGTATGATCAAACCCTCAATATGGACCAATCTCTTAGTTCCAAGAGAGAGCCATAATCAGTGTGGAAATATCCAAAATTAAAATAAACTGATTATGGCTCTCTCTTGGAACTAAGAGATTGGTCCATATTGAGGGTTTGATCATACACGTATCGATCACACATTAGGATAGAATATTTGGTTATTTGTATAGATGTTCGTGTGTTATTCATGATATTTTCCACTTTGGAATCCACATTTATTTAAATCAAGCGCAACTTATTTACCATATCAGACATCTTTTTCATACATTGCTGCTGGTCCTATAAGCTATTTAGAACGTATTCCTAGCGCAGTGTACCTTGGAACCAATGTGTGTATTTACTCACCTGCCTTCTTATAAATAAAGAATTTTTAAAAAAAGCAGTTAGAGGAATCAGGATTGGCTTACTTTTAAGCTCTTTTACTTGAGAGATAGATAAAGAGAATTTTTTTTTTTGCCAATGGAAAGTTAGTTACTAGGAGAAGACTGTTGTCAGGCAAAGTCTATGGGGCCAAAATGCGTAATTCAACACAACACTCAGGTGTGAATGGGATCCACTGTCAATAAATTATATATATATATATTAGTGGCAGTGCATGGCAATGCCACGGAGGTGCTACCGACACAGACACCCAGGACTCTCAGCCAGAGGGGCTGAGAAGTTCCAGAATATAATTAGATTTGCAGGGAAGAAGCTGGCCTTTCAGTTTCTTCCGGTGTTTCCAGATTGTAGCTAGGATCTGGAACTCTGGAGATTAAGTTCTGGGTTGGATAAAATCTCCAGTCCTGAGGTCAGGTGTTGCCGGCGATCAGGTGGCTGAGAGCAGCCTCAGAAAGAGCCCAGACCAAAGCTCAAGAGAGGAGTTGTGGTGTTGTGTGTGCTGGAGGCATAAACAAGGCAGGTGTGGTGTGTGCTGGGGGCACACAAGGGACATCCTAGGAGGCTGGAAGGTTTGCAGAGGCTGAGTGAGCCAGGCACACAAGGTGTGTGTGTTGTAATCAAAAGCTGTTGAAAGCTGCTAAGACTACAGAGTATTTCTGAAGAGTTTTTGTTGTGGAAAACAGTAAAGTCCTGGGACTGGGACTGATCGGGACAACCCGAGAATGGTGAAATAATTTGTTTGCTGAAATACAAGCATACTTTATATTGTACTGCTGAACAAAGCTATCTTCTGTTACAAAACAAAGAGGATAGTCCTTTTTCTGTTAAAATGGTTTCATATGAGCTAAATTTCCCAAATATCATGCATTGATTCAAAATGGCACCCTTTTCTGGGAGTGTTGTAAAATTGAAACCAAATATATAATGTATTTCAATGGGAACTGAGGGAGTTAGGTTCCAAGCCTTTCTCAAAACAAGGAATGGTTCAAAATATAAATTGGTGTAAACTGAAACCCAGCAAATATTGTAAGTCAATGGAAAGTGAGGAGGTTAGGTTCCAAGCCTCTCTCATTGACATAACAAGCCCCCTATGTGATAGCACCTTGGAGGTGAAATTAAGGGTCTATTTCCACTTCAATGGGGAATGATGACTGCCTGCTGAGGCAGCTGAATGTAAACACAGTAGGCAGTGGCTGGGAGCAATAGCCAGCCTTCTATTGTCTATTTCAAATTGCAGTAGCCAATAGCAAACTCTCCTTCAGGTCCTCCTCTGCTGATTGACAGAAGGCAGTTTGCGACTGCAATAGCCAACCTACTATTGCAATTTAAAATAAACAATAGCAGGCTGGCTATTTCTCCCAGCCGCTAGACAAGAAACTTGACGCCGGTTTTCTACCACCAGCAGAAGAGGGGCCATGGGGGCAGCAGAGGAGGAACGGGTCGCGGCAGCAGAGGAGGTACAGGGCGCGACAGCAAGGGGAATGCAGAGACACAGCGGGCTCTACTCACCGCTGGGTGCCGGCTGCAGTGCTCTGTGTACCCTCTGATTGAAGGTGACACAGACCGCAGCATGCAGTGGTTACCAGTAAGGAGGAGAATGGAGGAGCTGAGTGGCGGTGACAGCAGGGGTGGGGTTTTAACTAATTGGAATCAACTAATCGATAATGAGAATCATTGACATTGATTCTCATTATCGATTAAATCGATTAGGTGTTGCAGCCCTAGTACCCCATAAACTGCTTGAGGTTGGTAGGCTGGGGAATGCCACCATGTTTCATGTTACACCATAAATATGGTGTAACATGAAACATGGTCAGAAAGGTTGAATTTTCTTTTAAGCCAGCTGCTAGCAGACTTCAGTAGGCTTGCTGAATACTTGCTAACTGCTTGTTTAAAGTAAGAACTCCCATTAAGATTTGTGCTTAACGTTCCCATACTGGAGCTGAAGTTTTCTTTTAAAGGCTGTTGGATTCTTGCCAAAGCTTTACAAATGCTTTGTAAAAGTTTATTGTAAGCATTGCTCTTATACAAGCTGAAGCCTGTGTGAACAAGGCCTAATGCATGGGTTGTGATTTGATGGCTTGGGTTCATCCATTCTGTATTGTGCAGGAGGCAATTTGTTGGTGCCCAATGGGTATAGAAGTGGTTTAAGGGGCAGACTGAAGCAAAGATTTGAACTGATTATGCCCATGGCCTCAGAGTCTATATATGTCAATTGTTAATAAAAGGCTTTCTTTAAAAGTTGAGAGGAAAGTTATAGTGTGGGAACCTGAGAAGATTTTAAACCTGAGGTAATTTAAACCTGAGAAGAAGACTGGGTGATGAGGTCCAGAATACAGAGCAAGCAGGACATTGGGCTTTTAAAGTTTTGAGTTAGATGAGCGAACAACATGGTTATAGTGGCAATCTTGTCTTGAATTGTAACTGTACTGTCTTCCTTTCTAGCTCTGTGCAACCTTGTTGGCACTATATAAATCCTGAATAATATTAAGAAGAATTTTGTGGTCAGCTTGCCCAACTTCTTGCGAACCTAAACCATTAGTTTTTCTTTAGCACTTGTGCAAGCCATAAAATGTATGAATTCTGAAACTGCTGACAAGGACTACCAGTACTTAACTTTGATCTGTTTAACATCCATGGAGATTAGTTGAATTTTGCTGGATACCAACCTTTGAATGTTTTTATGTAACAGTGCCTGTTGATCTTTATCTCTTCTGCTTCTTTCGTTTGTTTCTAAGGTGCACCCAGGTAAACACAAAGTTGTCTAAACTATCCAATGAGCTGAAGGAAGAACAGGAAATGAACAAGTGCCTCAGAGCCAATCAGGTGTTGCTCCAAACCAAACTGAAAGAAGAGGAGACTCTGCGAAAAGAAGTCGGCGAGCAGAAGGACCTTCAGATTGTGGAGATGCAGGAGCAACTACGGGATGTCATGTTTTACTTGGAAGCTCAGCGAAAAATCAACCAAATGCCAGAAGATGCTCGGCAGGAGATTCAAGATGGTCAGATCAACATAGCTGTGGCATCATCTAGTTCACCTCAAACATCCGGCAAATCGCGAAAGGGGCGTGGAAAAAGAGGCAAATAGAAATGGACATTTTCTTGATTCATAATCCTCATGTATATCCCTTTGGGTCATCTTTGTTTTCCCTTTGGAATGCGATAAGGGAATTTCACCCAAAGAAATCCAACCAGCTTGATTGCTGGCATATGAGAATCCCAGAGTCCTTTTATTTATAGCACATTTCTGATATAGTTTCTGGTACAAAATGATGAAAGATATAAACATTAATGCTTTCTATTTTAAATAAGCTGTTTAAGCCTCCTGCCTTATGTACACTGTTATCAAAAAGCTTCAATCTTCCAATTTCCATGACTTATTTTAAAGTCGTGTTTATTGAACTTCTGTTTCACTGTAATCTCTTCCATTCTGAAAGAGGGGGATGCTAAGATGGTATTATAAGAATGCCATAAAGGAATTTATGTAACTTGTATGTTATAAATGAATAGCGACACTGAAGTATGTGTGATATCATGTAGCTTAAATAAACCTATAGAATAGGAATGTTATATGATATCTGTTACTTATATTTTCAGTACAAACTAAAATTTCACAGTTTGTAAGCTATGAAAGGTGCCGCATGGAAGACAAATTGGCTTATTTAATGGCAGAAACTAATAGCAGGCATTCAGATCTGAGTATTTGTTGGTTCACTACAGTGCAAATAGTAGAAAATTAATTCTGATTGGTTGCTATGCATTACTGCACTTTGCACACTGCATTTTGCCTTAACTATAACTACGTTGGTTCAAAACCAGACACAATTTGTCCTGATTAAAAAAACTAGACTTGAGCCTTTACAGTTTGCTAAAGTGGCAGTCCAAATACATCAGTGCTGGGGAATGGAAAGAGTAATATGGAGATTTTACCCATAGACGGCACTCCTTCTCATAATGTACATGTTGCCGAAAGGAGAATGTTCAGTGCAGAAAAAATTGCTGTGTGAATTTAAGGCAGAAGACCTGACAAAATACAACATTCAGTCATTAATATGCAAAAGCGATTTACTGTATATGCATCTGTTTTTGGATGCACCATTTGAACAACCAGAAATCTGCCCTCAGCTGCGGGAACTTTGTATATTGTATCCTTCAAGGATAGCTATCATTGCAACTAGGGATTACTTTACAGTGGAGGTTTTTTTATTGCTTGTGAGGTAGTCCTGTACATTGAGGGTTATAATTCTACAAACTGACTTCACAACTGAGGGAAAAACCTTAATTGTGAGGGTTTACCATTTTATGGAACTGCATTGTGCCTAATGGCTAGTTGGTTGTTCCAAGACTAGAAACCTCCTAAGACAAGCCATCCCATGCACAGGCCCAAAATATATAACTAAACAATCTTAAAGTATATTTCCACTTTTGCAGTCAAATTTTTAGAAAACTCCACTATGTGTGTTTTATGTGTTCCTACTCTCAGAGCATACCGTAAAATAATCTTAAATAAGTCTTACCTTTTTATAGATGATTTGTTCAAGCAGGCAACATGGCTAATTCCAGGTTTTGCTGGGCACCTTCACAGTGATCTGTCCTTTATAGAAAGACTTGGGACTGAAATTTGAGGGTTGTGTTTATCTCACTACCTTCATTAACATTTGAATGCAGAAGCCAGGGATGTAATCCTTTAACTCCTCTCAGCCCCTCCTAACAGTATAAAGGAGTAGAAGCAAGTAGAAATGTTAACCCTTAAGAAGTCAAGAAAACTTAACCCAAGTAAAAGCAATTTAAACCGCAAAAAGCATTTTTTTTTTTTAGCTCATGCTATGTGAATGGGAATATGTAACACATCTAAAATAGGTGTTACCAAATTTAGCTGTGAAAGTGGAAATGCACTTCAAGGCACAAGAAATGTTTAATTTGGACTTTTTGTGGAGTTTGGCTTGTACAAGTAATCAGCATTATTATGCTGTTGGACATTATTCTTTGGCATGTTTAATGTTCTTGTTGTAACACAATATGCTTTTAATACAGTTAATATTTTTACATTGTATGACTGTATTGACAGCCAACAAAAGCATGTATGTTGCAATCTAAAAGGTGAAAATCTGGAAGAAATTCAGCTGACGTTCCAAATTGTTTATGGTAGTACCCTCACAATTGCCCCTTAAGTAACAAGGGCTCTCTGCTTGTTCTCTTACATTAGGCCTATATTGTGGCAGTTGTAATAGTAAAACCTTAATATGTTGTACAATATACAACTACTCTAGTGCAATCTGAACACATAGAGGTGCTGCCTCCCTGTCTAATTGTATTTTTGTGAAATAATGGTTTAAGTTGCCTTTTAGCCTTTTCTGTCAATTTGTACAGAATGTTTGCATGTATACTCTTAAGGTTTTTAACTTGGGTTCTGAAATTTCAGTTTGCTCTTGCTGTTTTTTTCCTGACACATAGAATAAACCAGTTCCTAATTTATGAACAATATTACATTTGGCTGCTGATTCCATGTCCACATAATTGTTTTCACCACTGCTTTTAAAAGGTCTAGCTGTTTATCATACGGTACAGCTTCTGTAAGTACACAACTAAAATGCTTATATGGGATTTGTTTTATCTGCTAATGAAATTATAATTCTGTTCAACCAATCTTTGATTCATACATTACTACTAGACAGTACAGCCAGGTATAACTTTATTGCAATTACCCAATATAGCCTGGTCAAGGAACCAACCCAGGCTGCTGATTGAAAAAGTTGATTCATTGATAAAGTTATGCCGGATCTCTCTCCTTCTCCAAGCATGTTCATAGTGTTAAGCTATGGGGTCAATTCACAAAGAGAAACGTTATTTGCTCTCTCTAGTTGTTTCATTTACCTCTCCATATTTTTCTTTTGAAAACATGGTATTTACCAAAGTTTTTTCCTGTCCGCTCCATGTCAGCACACTTATGGGTTAACGCCCCCTCCTCCTCACTAATCAAGACCATAACTCTTAAATCTGTGAGAGCTGCTGCACCCGCTGTTACTTTTTCTTCCTCCTTCTCAGGACTGTGTGTGGCACGTCTACCTGGTGAGGGTAAATCCCTTACTGTCTGCCCCTGTATCTGTGGGGTGTGGTCCCTTAAGCACCCTCTAAATGTTTGGGTATCTGGTACCCCCTGCTGCTGGTTCCCAGGGCTGTGGCTGTTGAGCAATGTCGCCAAGGAGGTAGGAGCTTTTCCTTTCGCTTTGTTCAAGGCTGAGCTGCGGCAGTGTGGAGACTCAGTGGAATGCACGCGGCGCGTTCCACTGACAGGAAGACAACCACCTTCGTTCATTCATTGGATCAGGTGCTGGGAGGCGGTGCGCTTCTGCCCTTAGGATCCAATGGGCGACAGAGGGGGGTATGTTGAGGCTGGAGCGCTCCCTTTTTAAGCCAGGCTGTGTCAGTCTGCATGGCCGCGTGCTAGCAGCCGGTTCCCTTCCTATATTGGAGTCGCTGTGGCTGCTCTCTCTTCCTGTTGGGTAACCTTCTTAAAGGGACAACTCCTCATTTATCTGGGGACAATCCTTCACCTTCTAAAGACCAGCATGTACAGAGAAGGTAGGCGGTGCTCACACTGCCTTCACTGTGTCATTTGCATCAGGACTTTGTAGCTGTAATTTCCATGCTTGTGTTACAGTTCCTCCCAGTCAGAATCTTGGAACTCCCAGGGATCGTAGAAGGTCTCCTTCTTTGTGTAGTCACAGATCTCCATCTCGGGACAGACATTACCCTTGTCATCACGAGAGTAGAAGACGGGACAGATTCCCCTTTGAGTAGCAGTTTTCCGGCAGTATTCTCTGGGAGACGTCATCCGCAGCCCCGCCCTGGAGGATGCTGGGCATGTTTTAATGTAGCATTACCAGGCAAGACCGCGTGTGAGAGCTGCTTTTTGGAAGTGACAAGGGATAAAGAAGCGGATAATCTGCAAGTTGTCACACTGGTGAAGAGGGTCTTCCAGGATACTCAAGGATTTTGCGGCTGTGACACAACCTTGGGCACAGCATGGGGGGGTCGGGTTCTCTAAAAGAGGATTTTGTGACCAGATCACAACTGACTTTTTAGGCACCCATAAGACCACCATAAACATATAATAATAAAAGGTATATGTTATTAATTACACTTAAAATGTATATAAAAGTTCAATAAAAACAATGCTCTGCTTATAATTGGTTCTCACCTCCCAAAATTCATTAAAAATCTATAATCCTGTTTTCCATTTTTGAGAAATATGAAATAATGAAAAGCTATACAGACTTTCTTGGACAGACGTACGGATCTAGATCTTAGAAAGATCTATTTACTAGCAAGAGGAGCCAGCAAGCAAGCCGTGGCAATGGCTGCAACTTTCAAAGCCTTGGACTTTTGAGTGGATAGTATGGAGTCGGCTTTGCCCAGTGATCTCAGTATATGAGTTGTTGGACCATCTGAGGTACATAAAACTTTCAGCTGTCTTTTTTTGCGGAAGCATCAATTGATGTGGTCAAATTGTTGTCTAGGGTAATGCGAACAGCAGTAACTGGCAGTAGAGCCCTCTAGTTAAGACCCTGGGTCGTGGATCCTACCTTTTTCCTATTTCCACATTCCGATACATGTCAGCTTCCAGAAGTTTCATCGTTTCGCGGTTGGGGTCCAGTTTATCTGCCTAGCCTTGGGCTAACCTTTTCTTCAAGAGTCTTTACCAAAGTGCTCTTGGCTCAGGTGGCCATTCTGCGAGAGTAAGGAGTACATATTTACCATTACCTGGATGATCTCCTGCCTCCTGAATCAAGATATCATCATCTCCTATCATGAGTTAGTCTTGCCCACACACCAGAAGTTTGGCTGGACAGTCAACCTGGACAAAAGTCATCTTGTCCCGACACAAGATCTAGTGTAGCTGGGGGCCTGGATAGATACTGTGCCAAATACGGTGGCCCTTCCTTTGCGAAAGATGCCAGAAATCTGGCAGAGGTTATCAACTGTGCTGGCTGCTGAGTTTCTTTCAGCCACACAATGTATGCAGATTGTGGGGACAATGGTGGCCACCATTCCTTTGATGAAATGGGCCCAGTGAAGCTCTCGGCCCTCCTAGAACGGGTTCCTGGACCAGTGGCAGTCTAGAGATCTGCACCAGATGATGGCTGCTATGAAGGTCAGTATGCACTCATGGATGTTGGATCAGAATCTGCTCTTATGCCACTCTCCTGCCGATCTCTTGGACAGTGATTTCGACAGATGCCAGCAAGTCAGGTTGGTGAGCCAGTTGGTTAGACCATCTAGCCCAGGGTTGCTGGCAGTGCCAGGCGAAGGGGATGGTGTCAAACATTCTGGAATTGAGAGTGGCCTATCATGCTTTGTTAGAATTTCAAGATGTTGTTTGGGAAAGGTTGGTTCTGTTACAAATTGACCATGTCACAGCAGTGACATGT